ATATTATTATTATTATTATTATTATTATTATTATTATTATTATTATTATTATTATTATTATTATTATTATTATTATTATTATTATTATTATTATTATTATTATTATTATTATTATTATTATTATTATTATTATTATTATTATTATTATTATTATTATTATTATTATTATTATTATTATTATTATTATTATTATTATTATTATTATTATTATTATTATTATTATTATTATTATTATTATTATTATTATTATTATTATTATTATTATTATTATTATTATTATTATTATTATTATTATTATTATTACTATTATTATTATTATTATTATTATTATTATTATTATTATTATTATTATTATTATTATTATTATTATTATTATTATTATTATTATTATTATTATTATTATTATTATTATTATTATTATTATTATTATTATTATTATTATTATTAATAATTCATTATTATTATTTTGCAATAGAAATTTTCTTTTAAATCATAAAGAGCGGATTAGAAAGAAAAAAAAAAGAAAAAAAAGAGAGAGAGAGAGAGAAAACTAAAGTAAAAGAAAAGAAAAGAACAAACAAGAAAACAAAGAAACCACAAAAAAAAAGAAAAGAAAGTTGTCAGAAAAAAGAAAAAGGAAAAAAAAAAAAGTAGAGGTAGTCCTCATATGACACTGCCAGCCACTCGACTAGAGATGCCCTTAGTGTTTTCCAATAAGGGTGGACTTGACTTCATTCTCTTGCTAACTGATCGAGAGAGAGAGAGTCATGGAGTACTTGCAAGGTGATCTGGAAGCACCAATGCCATGGATAGGGCTTTACGTGGCAGCAGCTTCTGGCGTCTGCGCTCTGTCAATGTCTGCCGACGCCTTCGCGGGCTTCCGAAGCAGAAGGTTTTGGTTCCCATGTAAGTATTTCTCTCTCAATGCCTTCACCCTCACAGTATTAGCTGTCGCAATGAAGCTGCCGGTTGATCTTACAAGTATGACGATCGGATTTAAAGATAACACCGCCCGTGTTAGCAGCCTTGTACTCATGTCAATCGCTATAGCTAACTTCACGACCTCGTTCGGGTCGATGAAGAACAACGACATCGTACTAAACCTCGCTGCCTTAGGCATTCTTGTTGTTACAGTCTCCACGAATGTCTGCATTCATGTTATCCAGATCAAAGATCCTGCCATTGACAACGTTAAATTGGGTGGATTTTATTTAGAGATTGTGTCCACTGTGGTCATGCTCCTTTTGCTTTTGATGTTATGCTTTTTGTCCGTGATGATTCCGTCCGCCAAAAGAAGCATACAGTCGTCGTACCACGACATGCGCGTAAAAATATCGAACGAGAATAATCGATTGGTGGAGTGGGGGAATTTTAACGTCGATGAAGTCAGGGTAGCGGTGACGAGATATTGGGTGATGGCGGAAATGGGGAGCTCCCAATTCGTCATCGCGCGCTCCGTGGCATGCGTTGCTTCGGGCTCAATGTGTCTGTTCATGGGCCTAACTCTGTTTTGGGTTCTGTTTAAAGAGCAGCACAAGTTGCTGCCGATTAGTCAAGATCGCATTTATTCGAATTACAAGTGGTCCATCAATTGCATTCTAGCTGTTCAGTTGGTTGGAGTGGCGTTGGGTTCTATTGCACCCGCAACGAGATGGTTCGTTGCTGCCCGATTCAAGAGCTCCGATATAGGCCATAGAAGTTTCAAGAATGAATTTAAGGTCGAGACTTATTGGACTCAAAAGCTCGTCTACTGGCAAGAGCGCCCTCTACCTCTACTAATTCGATCCAACGTACTCAGGAAACTTGTCCACGATGCCAAAAGATTACTTCTAAATGTCTGCATTGGAGTTCAGATTGTGAATATTCTGTTCAGCAAGCTAGTTCTTCTCGTTTCGGCTGCCTTTTTGAAAGGGTTTTTGTTTTGCTTCCATCAAATCAAGACTACTCGAAGGGCGTGGTGTTATAATTCCAAGGAATCAAGAACCGAAACGGAGTTGGATTATAGCGGCTATGTGCTGCTGCTCGAGGGAGAGTCGGGGCTGCCTCGGAAGACGCTGAAAAACATATGCAACGAGGCGGATAAGTTGATCCAGAGAGGTAGAAAGAAGCAACTGAAGAACCTCAAACAACTCGTAATGAAATCCGAAAACTTCAGTGGGGTGAGAGAATTCGACAACAACGAAGTTCCACGTTTGAAATATTCTTCCCAAGAACCTCCAAACTGCTGGTCTCTGCCAGTTGTGACTTTGACAAGCGTCGCAGTTTCACTTTCCAATATCGCTGATGATCATAAGCTTAATCAGTTACTCAATGCAGTGAGCGAAGGCCTTTACTTTGTAAAGCTCATAGAGAAATCGCTTGACAAAAACGGAGATTTGACAATCATCCGGCATGCAGCACAAGTGGTCTGGGTAGGGGTTGAATTGTCCAAGAAATGGCTGGATATCGATCTCCAAAATGCAAGTCTCGGAAGTGGGTCCCACGTGGAGGCGCTGCAAAACCTTTCAGGCGTCGCTGAAAAGATTGTTACTGATTTCACGACTAGAACCGTATTAGATCCTCTGATGAAAAACCCTCTCAACTGGCCTGCTAAAGTTATATAGCTGCTCGCTCGATGTACCGAATAACTCAAACTATCCTGCTAGCACAGAAAGACAACCATAGCCAAACGAATGAGGAGCTCTTCGAGAGATTATCGGTAATGGTTTCAGACATATTTGCAGCCTGCCTCACCAATTTAGTGTCGGTCATAATCTTGAAATGCCACAGCAATGCTATCGAAGAAAGGGAGGAAAGTGTCCGCCAAGCAGCTATTCTTTTAGGTGAGAGTGAAGAAGTTCTTGAAATTATTCAGAAAATCGATCTTCCAGGCTTGGATCCAAAAAAAGCAGCTAATATTGAAGAGTGGAGGGCGTTTATGGAATTGAATCCACCGGCAACTGCCTCAGCCTTGAGCAACAACGGCACAGCAAATCCACGCTCCAATGCCGAGCAAGTTTCAGTTGAAATACGGGGCTGATTATTTTGCAAGAAGACGCAGCATTTTACGAAATCTTGATACTGAAAACAGGTATTATTAGCCGTTGCATTATCATTTTTTAGTTTGTATTACGGTACTATTTTCTGCATTTTACCTTAATGTTCTGTATAGTAAAAATGGTTTGTCGTGTTTCGATTTGGTTTGTCGTGTGTCGGTTATGTAATGTACTTGATTGTTTTGTTCTATCGTGTTATCTGTCATTACAAGGTGCTTTTGTTAACTCTGCCGTTTGTTTTACATTTTTTTTTTCTGGTGAAATAATATTCTTCTTTTTCTTTTTTGTTTTCGTTTTTTATGGTGAAAATCGTAAATTAGCACTGTGGATGTTGGCTAAAGGGAGGGTGCTCAATTGTTGTGAGGAAATTTAAGGATTTTGAATAGGGATTTTAGGGGGAAATTAGGGATTTGAGGGTTTGAAGAGGGATTTTGGGGGGGGGGGGGGGGGGAAATTAGCCGAATCGGTGCTCGTGAGCTCAGTGAGCCCGCTCGAGCTCGGATTTTAAATTTCCATTTAAGCCAAAGTTTACTTTTAAAAGGGCCCCGAGCCTTTAATAATGGTATTTTTTTTATTATTATTAAAAAAAAAAAAAAATATAAAAAAATAAAAAGGGGGACCTATAAAAATCCAAAAAAAAAAAATGTTTATTATTATATAAATAATTTATAGAAACAATAATTACTATAACTATATTAACAGTAATAAAATTAAAAAAAGTAAATAAAAAACAGAAAATTAGATGATCTCAGAAAATGAAAGCTCCATGAGCTCGAGATCGGAAAATATGACAAGCTCGGGTTGTTTACACCTGTAGACCATACCAAAAAATATAATTCTAGCGATTGACAAATGTTATGGTAGGCTTTGTCGCACTTTTACAAACACGATATGTAAGTCGCAAGCGACTATATAGTTCTCTATTGCTCCTGTACCGTAGATTGACAAATATTATGGCAGGTTTTAATAGTTTTGATGCATAAGGTATAGTTTAGGGGGATATTTGATGATTTTAATAGTTTTAAGGGGGTACTTGATACATAAAAGTATAATTCAGGGTCCAAAGTGTATTTTACTCGTTTGACACATTTCATATTGGTTTCCAGGAAGTTGTGTTTATCTTTCATATTTTTCCACAAAGGGTAGTAGCTGACTTGACTTGATCACAATGGTGAAGACTTGAGAGAGAGAGAGAGAGAGAGAGAGAGAGAGAGAGAGAGAGAGAGAGAGAGAGAGAGAGAGAGAGAGAGAGAGAGAGAGATTGGTTCATGACTTCATATCAATATCGATTGGACACAAATCGGGGAAGTGAAAACAAATATTATTTAAGCAACGTTATTCATTAATGGAGTATTAATTACATTATCGTCGACTACTGTATCTTCGTTTGTCTTATAAGATATCTTTAAAAAAAACTCATAAGCGTAGTCAAATACCCTCTTAATCGACTTATTAATGCGCTATTATTTACTCAATTAACTACAACTACTTAATATTATCATAACAGGCCATCCATAAAAGAAAAAGTACTAAGGAATTCGACCACCATACTTTTATTTTTACTTTTTCTAATCTTTTTTCCATATAGAATGACTTAAAAGTTGAAAGTGAATTCTTGCCTATTGAGATAGCTTACTTCATTATTTGCCGGCAGTTTTCTTAAACAACAATTAAGCTGTTCTGATTATTCAAAAAAAAAAAAAAAAAGAAGTAGTAAAGCTGATGGTTTCATCTGAACATGAAGCGTACGACAACTTGGTGCGAAAAAAACTCGAAGCTCCAATGCCATGGATAGGCCTGTATGTTGCAGCAGCCACTGCTCTCTGCACATTGGCAATGGCAGCAGACGCATTGAGAGGCTTTCGAAGCAGAAGGTTTTGGTTCCCGTGTAAGTACTTCTCTCTCAATGCTTTTTCTCTTACACTGTTAGCCGTGGCGATGAAACTTCCCGTTGATCTTACTAATTTCGTGGTTGGAGTTAACGACCAAATCGCCGGAGTTAGCAGCCTTGTTCTCATGTCGACCGCTATGGCTAATTTCACGACATCTTTGGGGTCCATGACCAATGATGAGATTGCAGTAAACTTGGCTGCTCTATCCATTCTTGTTATTACAATCACGGGGAATGTCTGCATCCACATTGTCCAGACGAGGCATTTTCTTTTTGTGCGCGATATATTGGCTGAAGAAGTCGGATCCACTTTAGCCATGCTTCTTCTTCTTTTGATATTATGCTCTTCGGCTGTGATGGTCCCCACTGCCAAACGGTACATAGACTTGGCGTGCCGTGAGATGCGCAGGCGAGTCGTCATTTCGAATAACAAGAAAGTGGAGTGGGGAGAATTCAGTGTCGGTGAGCTCAGAGTAGCTGTGAGAAGATATTGGGTTATGGCAGAAACGGGGAGCTCCCAATTCGTCATCGCACGCTCCGTGGGGTCCGTTTTTTCGGGATTGGTGTGCCTGTTGATGGGTCTAACTCTTCTAGAAGCTCATATTCGAATGCCTCTTGTGTACGATAATTTCGTACGGACTCATTCTAGTTACAAGTGGTCGGTTAATTGGATTCTTGTGGTCCAGGCTATTGGAGTGGCGTTGGGTACTATTGCTCCTCTTATGAGATGGTTCATTGCTGCCCGATTCAAGAGCTTCGAAATGGGTCGTAAAAGTTTCGAAGACGAATTTAAAGTCGAGAGTTATTGGACTCAAGTTCTGGTCGATTGGAGAGAGAGCCCCGTGCCTTTACAAATCGGATCCCACAAATTCAAGAAGCTTCTTCATGATGTGAAAGGATTGCTTCTGAATTTCTGCATTGGAGTTCAGATTGCGATTGTTCTTTCCAGCAAACTAGTTCTACTCCTTTCGGCTACCTTTTTGAACGGACTTTTATTTATCAAGAATCGAAAGGCGTGTTGTTGTTTCAAAGAATCAAGAACTGGAACGGGGTCGTTGGATTATAGCAGTTATGTGCTGCTGCTTGAGGGAGAGTCGAAGCTGCCTCAGAAGACGCTGACGAACATATGCAATGAGGCGGATAAGTTGATCCAAATAGGTCGAAAGAAGCAGTCCAAGAACCTCGTCGAACTTGTAAAGAAATCTGTCAACTTCAACGGTGTGAGAGAATTCGACTCCGATGAAGTTCCGATCTTGCAATATCATCAAGAACCTCCAAACTGCTGGTCTCTGCCAGTTGTTACGTTAACAAGCATCGCAATCTCACTCCCCAACGTCTCGGATCGTAAGCGTAATTTTCTATTGAGTTCTGCGAGCAGAGGCCTCTACTTTGTGAAGCTCGTAGAGAAATCTCTCGATAGAAACGGAGATTCGGCAATCATTCGTCATGCAGCAGATGTGGTTTGGGTGGGAGTTGAATTATCTAAGAAATGGCAGGATAAGGATCTCCAGAGTGCAAGTCTCGGAGGTGGGTCCCACAAGGAGACACTGCAAAACCTTTCGGACACTGCTGAAAAGATTGTTATAGATTTCACGACCGAAACGAAAGATCCTCTGATGATGCAGAACCCTCTCAACTGGCCTGTTAAAGTTATAGCTGCTCGTTCAATGTACCGAATAACTCAAACGATCATGCTAGCGCACAAAGACGACCATAGCCTAACGAACGAGGAGCTGTTCGAGAGATTATCAGTAATGATTTCAGACATATTTGCAGCTTGCCTCACCAATTTAGTGTCGGTCATAATCTTGAAATGCCACAGCAATGCTATCGAAGAAAGGGAGGAAAGTGTCAGGCAAGCAGCGATTCTTTTAGGTGAGAGTGAAGAGATCCTTGAAATTCTAGAGAAGCGCGAACTTCCGAGATTGGATCCAAAAAAAGCAGGTGATATTGAAGAGTGGAGGGCGTTTATGGAATTGAATCCACCAGCATCTGTCTCGGCCTCGAGCAACAACGGCACAGCAAATCCACAATCCAATGTTGAGCAAGTTTCAGTTGAAATACGGGGCTGATTATTTTGCAAGAAGACGCAGCATTTTACGAAATCTTGATACTGAAAACAGGTATTGTTAGCCCTTGCATTATCATTTTTTAGTTTGTATTATGGTACTATTTTCTGCATTTTACCCTAGTGTTCTGTATAATAAAAATGGTTTGTTGTGTGTCTGTGTTTCTTATCGTAAAAACAATTATCGGTGATCGCGCCTATATATTAACGATTGCAAGAATACCACTTTTTATTCTTTTTGCTGTGAAAGAATTCAACTATTTCTTGGAAATAAGAAAAGAATCTATACGAGTAACTGAAGTATTTCATCAAAACATTATCAACATGTCAAAAGCACAATTAGCTTTCTCATCGCATAGTTCAAAAGTTCAGACTGTCGACAACAAGCACGAGTTGCTCTGTTGATCATCTTAGTGGGCGAATCAATTTTGAGGCCTTTATGACTCTTTTGGTCCACTTGTGGTTGACCGCCGCCTCTAATGATGTTTCAAGTTCATCACAAGCTGCAGAAATATAATCCTCCGTTATAGCAGACTCGTTCTTCAGGCCAAAAAACACTTCTTCATCTACTTTAAGCTGGAGGCAGAGAAGGCTCTCGCCAAATACCTGCCAAAAAAAACAAACCCAACTTAATTACGAAGCAGCTTTCCAATCGTTTTTTTTTTTTCTTTTTTTTTTTTTTTTTTGACATGCATTCCACTAATTCTTACGTTCTTTAAAGTCGAATGTATCGCAGCCCTCAAAGCTGAGGGCCCGCAGAACACACTCATGACGAATAAACCTTCCTCGGAAAGGCAGTTTTTCGCGTCCCGAAGAAAAGATTCCTGAACAAATTCTTCTGAAGGCCTGTTCAATCCCAAACTGCATGCACAGTTACAGTAGTACCAAGATGAAACTAAATTAATTGAAAACTAGACACAGCAGAATAATAAAGAATGTGTCAAAAAAAAAAAAAAAAACAAGAAAGAAAGAAAAGCCTCATTACCTCAGGTCTAGTGAACCCACATCAACTATAAGTATGTCAAGTTTGCCAGCTGCCTCAGAATGTGCTTTGTCCTTAATGTACAGGAGTCCGTCAGCTATATGTAACTGAAAACAACACATCACTGCTATTGAGCATAAATACGCTTTCATGTGATCAAACTACGGTTAAAGGATTTTCTCAGGAAATAATTTCCTGATGCTCCACCATTGTTATGCAATTTTTTCACATTCATCTTTCCGATAAATTTAAATATATACTATCATATTTTGCAGAAGAAAGAAATCCAGAGAGATACTAAACAAATACAAATCCCATTTCACACATACAAATCTTTAATCGGAATTTTAAAACGCGTTTCAGCAAAACAGAACTGAGAAATCTCGTTTCGAAGAAAACCATACCAGGCCTTCGGTTTTCATTTAGTTTCTAGTGAAAACAAAAAACCAGGAAATTAAAATTAATAAAAACACTACATCATTTTTTACCCGTAATCGTGCAGCTTCTTTAAAATCGAAATATTTTGTAGCAATGTCCGAAACCAGATCATCTATCTCAACAACCTGTCAAATCAAGAACTTGCATGCATGAGAACAGATACATAGCAGAATCAAAATGGTACTGATCAGTGGTTCAGTGTTTCATTATACCTGAATATTTACAGTAGCTAGCCGTTTCTTCATAAACATAGGAAGCGATCCTCCTCCAAGACCGATAACCACCGTTTCCACCTGGAGAGAGAGAGAGAGAGAGAGAGAGAGAGAGAGAGAGAGAGAGAGAGACCAGAAGCTAAAGAAACCACTAAAATAATAACTAAAACAATTGTATTGTGAACAATTATTTTGAAAAAATCGTTGTAATAGTATACTTAGAACTCATAATTTCAAGAGAATGTAGATGACTCACATTGGGCCCATTGGTGGTAAATCGTTTGCGATGTGGAGAAATCAACATCAATCCAGAAATAATTGCATTGTGGTATGGATGTGCCAAATAGTCGTGATCAATTTCCCTTTCAATATTTGATGCTTTCTTACTGCTACTTCCTGGTAATATTTGCTATGTAAATAATACTTGATCAAAAAGAAACTTCTCAAAAGAACTGTAAACATCTAGTTATTTCTCAAGAAAGAGCGCAAAGCTGACCAGATATTATCTGCCTCTTTTTCTTCTTGGTTGTGTGAATTTCCTTCTTGTTTTCCTCTACTACTTCTTTATACAAAGCTTCTGATTGCGTCATTCCCGCGGATTGATGGAAAATAAGGCGGCGGAAAACCTGATCTTTTGGATTAGAATTAAGATCATCGTCATCGTAATCAAGACTAAAAGCTTCGGGATATTGATCCTGATCATGATAATCAAGCCTCTTACGGTAGACCGTTTCTTCTACAATAATCTTACCGGTCACGGTAGAAAAAACCTGGATTATTCAAACCAAAGAAATATCGTAAAATGAACAAGAGATGTAAACTTAATTAGAGCCTCATATTAGCATTTCAGAAAGAAAAATAAAATTAGAGATACTGTAAAAAGAGACAAAAGATAGCAGTTATCTAACCTCGAGTACAGTGCGACACGCCTTCACCATTTCACCTGATGTAAAAAACCTGAATAAAGATAACATACTTGAACTCATTTATGCCTTATATACTCATTATGCATAGCAGCGCAAAAGGCCAATATGCAGAACAAACTTACAATGTCCAAAAAGTTCATGTATCTCTACAACTCTTCTAACAAAGATAGACAGATGGTTCTTACTGATGAAAAATTGTAAGCTACAATACAAAATTCACTTACGGAATTGGAACTCCAACATCACAACATCTTGGAGCCAGTTTCCTGACTATATGTTTGAGTTGAGTCTGAAACGAGGAAAACCAAAATTTTAACGCAAGCCAAAAATTTATAGCTATTGAAAATACAGCTGGATATATTACCTTCTTATCATCCCAGGGAACCTCACAATTGTCGGAATCCTCTAAAATCTAAAACGATCAATGAAAAAAAAGATAAGATAAAGGAAGAGAAGAAAATAAGCTTATCAGTGAAGAAAAGATCTTACAATCAGTGCTCTAGCAGCCTTCAACTTTGCGAGAAGACGCTTTTGTCCTTCTTCTGATGAGTGGATCCAGTGATTAACTTGACTCTGAAATTTAATATTTAGTCACTTGACAGCTGCCTTTAAAAGAAGTTTAAAATCAAACTACAAACACATCTCAGAATCAATTCAAGTAAATAACGAGCTCTGAATCAGACATTATCGACTTAAGGATATGAAGAGTAAGATAAAAGAACTAACTATTGGAACGAAGAGTACAACAAAGTTGCAAGGGCAAGGTCCTGAATCTTGCTGAGCATCAATAAGGAAACCCTTATAAGCATATGTTGCCGGATCACCTAAAATGAGCTTTATCCTACGACCTGGTGCATACTCTTTAAGCTCTTCAAGATTCAGGTCTTTAAGTGTGTTTAGTACTTCACTGCCACCGGAATACTTATCTCGATATTTTTGTTCGTCTTCAAGTTCTTTGATGAGTTGAGAACGTGACTTCCCTTCCTACAGATATAATCGTAAACAATGTGTTGAATTGAACTAGCAGAAGAGCATTAAATTAACTCAGATTAAAGCATCTGATTAGCATGTGTTTTCTTTGTCAAAAACCATTTCAAGTGCTTTTACCTGAGATTCAGCGTCGCGACTTTCACATTTCCTAATGTCTGTTGATATTAAACCAACCGAAGCACACGTATCTTTTTCAAAAACGAACATAAAGACTTGCCCTTTTTGGTTTTCGGAGGACGATTCTGGTTCCTCAGGGACGTCATGAACACTCGTTTTCCATCCAAACCGGAAATGGAAGAGAAGTATACCTGAGGAAAAGAAATATGATGGAAAAAGAGAATCACAGCTATGAACTGCACAAATATATATTTTTACACTCACCAAAAAAGAATAAAAGCAAAATGAGGCCAAAAATACGTACTTCTCACAATGGGGCCTGCTACGGTGATGCATATAAATCTTCCGCCATCTTTTAAAATCCTTTTTACCTGGTAATGCACAAAAAATAACAGGAAAAGTCAAGCTTTTTGACTACATAAAGAAACAAGATCCAAGACGGTATCACTTTCAAATAATACACCTGAAATATATAACGAGTCACTACTGTATAGGCATCGTGAGACACCACAAATGCATCCAATGCTGCCTTGTCGATAATCACATCCATGCTCTTATCTATAAACTGAACACAAACCAAAATCATCATCCATCAGTCGTCAACATTATCGATAAGTCGGCAGCACAAATAGACCAATAATAACTTCCTAGTAATTCGCTTGCAAATATATATATCTTGTATTAAAATACACGGAGTAGTTTAATAATCAACCCAAAAATTCCAAAATCCATCGAAATTATATAAATTAAAAAAAAAAAAAAAAAAAAAAAACACTCGATCGAAAGTTAAATTGTTCGAGACGAAGATACAGAAACAGCAATTACCTCAAGTGCTTTAACGTTTGTAGCACGCCACTTCATCACCGGCCGTTGTTTCTTATTCCTCTCCGACATTTTTTTAATCACCATATCTGAGAAATCGACGTTCGTTATCTGCTTAAACCCAGCATCATACAAATGCTCCGACAGCCTCGAGCTCCCACATCCCGGCACCAAAATATTCAACTCCCCGGGCTGTACGGCGGCCGCCTCTCCGGCGGATTCCGGCAGTAACGACGACCGAGAAAGGAGCTGATCCGTGAGAAGGCTCTGAATTTGGGGCCACTCGGCATACCACTCGATCAGAAACTCGTCTCGTTTTCGGCTCCTGAAGAAATATTCCCAATTCTCTTTTCGCTTGAGGTAACCTAAGTCCATGAACAGATCTCTGCGTGGTTCATCCTCTTCCACGCCGTCTGGAAGCGGCCGGAAAACAACTTCGGATTCTCCTCGCGGTGGATTCTGCTTTTGCTTCTGCTTTCTCCTCCTCATTATTAGTTTATCCATGGCGGTGCGTGTTTTCGGTGTGGGAAGCGGTTATTGGGGTTTTTTTTTCTTCCCTTTTCTCTGATTTGCAGATTTGAAATGGAAGAGAGAGCGAATGAGAAAGTTGACGCGCGCGGCAATTTAAATAGTCGGTGAAAAAAAATAATAATAATTATTATTATTATTTAAAAATAATAAATAATTAATAAAACGTAACTGTTTTCCGTTAGTAAATTAATTAATGTATTTTCTCAACTTTAATAACAACTGGCTAACTGCTGAGTACTGATTAGTCGTTATTGAAACGAACATAATCAAGTTGAATTCTGTAAATACGAAAATAAATAAATAAAAAATATTAATTAATCTAAAAAAATACAGAAGCTTAATTACAAATATTAAACAATAATATAAGTGAACTCTTTAAAAACTTTATTAATTGAAAAAATAAATAAAGTTAATACACTTATATACATAAACTACTCATAATATTATATGTTTTGCAGAGGAGATTTTGTATTTCAGAAATAAATTCTTGGAGAGGGTGATTTTTTATTTATTTATTTATATGGACTTTTTTTTATATTTATTTATGAGAAACAAAATTTTAGTAGTTTCAACTAGCAATGCATGCACATGCTACTGATGACAGGATCAAAATTCCATATATAATGATTTATTTATTTATTTATATTTTTATTATTTTTTATAAAACATAGCAGTAGATCATTAGGAAAAAAATTTATCATTGCATAGTTCAAAGTTCAAACAGACAACACGAAACAGACATTATCGACTCAAAAGTTTTCATCAAAATCAAAACGTGCTCTCTTCACCATGGATTTCGATGCCTTTATGACTGTTTCGGTCCACTTGCGGTTGACCGAATCTTGCTTCTGTAATGATCTTTCAAGTTTAGAACAACCTTTAGAAATATCATCCTTCGTCACCATCCAACAATCGTTCTTCACTGCAAAAACAACTTCTTGTGGTGAGTCGTCGTTAAGCTGGACTGAGAGCAGGTTTTCCCCAAATACCTGCAAACAATTGAAAAAAAAAATTAATAAAAAAAAACCGACAAAAAGTAACTTTGTAATCGGAATCATCTTTCTTGTTTTCTCTCTTTTTTTGGGAGATATATTAATCGACTTCGTCTCACCGTCTTTAAAATCCAATGTATTGCAGCCCCCAAAAGTGGGTCCCAGCAGGTCAAATTCATGACGAATAAACCTTCATCAGAAAGGGAGTTTTTCGCGTTCTGAAGAAAAGTTTCATCAACAAAATCTGCTGAAGGAAAAGTCAAGGGAGAACTGCATGCATGCACAATAACAGAGTTCTAAGATGAAACATGTACATATGAAAAAAGCTAGAAGACAGAGCAAAAGAATAAAGATTTAAATTTAAAAAAAAAAAAACATTTATTAGCATTGCCTTGAGCTTGATGAGTTCACATCAACTATAAGTATGTCAATTTTGCGAGACGATTCTCCTTCTGCAAGAACCGCAGTGCAAAACATTTATTAGAAACTTGTTTGTAGTCATCATATTATTATCATATTTGTAGGTGCAATCTGTTAATTCTATATATATTTTTTTACCTGCCTGAGAATCTGCTTTATCCCGGATAAACTTAACTCCGTCACTTATACTTACCTGAGAAATATTCGTTACGATGAAAACCATACTAGGCCTTTGATTTGCATTTAGTTTTTTAGTGAAAACAAAAATCCCAGGAAATTCTAAATAAAAAAATACATCATTCTTTTACCCGTAATCGTTCATCTTCTGTAAAATCGAAATATTTTTTAGCAACATCCAAAACCACATCATCTATCTCAACAACCTGTCAAATCAAGAAATTGCATGCATGAGAACAGATACATAGCAGAATCAAAATAGTACTGATGAGTGGTTCAGTATTTCATTATACCTGAATATTTAGAGTAGGTAGCTGTTTCTTCATGAACATAGGAAGCGATCCTCCTCCAAGACCGATAACCACTGTTTCCACCTGGAGAGAGAGAGAGAGAGAGAGAGAGAGAGAGAGAGAGAGAGAGAGAGAGAGAGACCAGAAACTAAAGAAACCACTAGAATAATAACTAAAATAATTGTACCGTACACTAATTAAGAATAGTAGTAATAGTGTAGTTAGAACTCATAATTTCAAGAGAATGTAGAAGGCTCACTTTGGACCCAGTGGAGATAGATCCTTTGAGATGTGGAGAAATCAACATCAATCCAGAAATAATCACATTGTGGTACGGAAATGTCAAATAGTAGAGATCAACTCGATGCTTTGTGACTCCTATTTCCTTGTAAATAACAGTAACTCTAAAAAAGTGCATCTCAAGGAAACTTCTCTGCATTCAACAAATAGTCTACGATTCTTTCTTCGCCTAGTATCTAAAAGAGAGAACACTTTTTTTCTCAAAAGTTAACCAAGAAAGAGCACAAAGCTGACCAGATTTGTTCTGCTTTCCTTTCTTCTTGGTTTTTGAAGTTTCTTGACTTGATAAAAGAGCTTTTGATTGCGAGAACGCACACGATCTTTCGAAAGTAAGGCGACGGAAAACTGAACCATCATCACCACCGTATGAATGCTTATTACGGCAGACCACTTCGTCTACAGTAATTGTACCCGTCAACATAGATTTAGCCTGGATTGACCAAACCAAAGAAATATCGAAAATGAACAAGAGAGAAGTGAAGTTATTAGAGCCCCATATTTGCATTTCAGAAAGAAAAAAAATTCTATATATTAGAGATCTTGTAAAAAGAGACAAGAGATAGTAGATAACCAACCCAGTGTATAACTTTTTGCTGCCTGAAATCCCCTTCTTCATCTGGAAGCATAAATCTGAATAAAGATCCATTTATCATAACCTCTACATGTGAAAAAAGGAAAAAAGTTCTGAAACCAAGAAGCCAACATACTTGAACTCATTTCAACCTCATATACTCATTACGTGTAGCATTGGAAAAGGCATAATGCAGATACATAATTAATAAAACACGCTTGACTGCTTCATTTTATTATTCATGAAGCGCAGATCAAACTAAAAACACATGCAAGGTATCAAGGCTAATATCCAGAACAAACTACGGTCCTCAGAGTTCAAACCCATATACACCAGCACATAAACAACACTAACTATGTCCAAAAAAGATAGACGGATAAAAACTTACTGATGAAAACTTATAAACTAGAAAACAAAATACACATAAACAGTGATGTCGATATCACTTTTCAAGTCTAAAACACTCGCACGAGAATAAAGCAAGATCCGAAAGAACTACACAAATGAAATCTACTATTGGATATCCTATTCATGGATAATGATGAGCACTTACGTAGTTCGATCTTCATCACGACAATGGCTTGGAGACAATTGCTTGAGTAAGTGATCGATTTGTAACTGAAATGAGGAAAACCAAAATTTTAAGAAGCCATCAAATGTAATGCCAGCTAAAAATTTACAGCTATTGAAAAAACAGTTGGATATTACCCGGATAAACCCCACAGAAGTATAATAATTGCTGGAATCCTGAAAAATCTATTACAATCCCAATAATTTTATAATTAAAAGATGAGATATAAAAGATAATATAAAGGAAGAAAATACACTAAGTTTATCCGTGCAAGAAAGATCTTACAAGCAGCACTCTACCAGCCTTCAAATTTGTGGCAAGGCAATTTTGTCCTTCTTCTGATGAGAAGTACCAGTCTTCAGCTATCGTCTGAAATTTAAAATTTAGTCACACGACAGTTGGCTTCGAAAAGAATTTAAATAACCCAAAAATTCCCATATCTAAGTGGAATCATCATTTCTGCACCAGAGGAACACTTTCAAATTACTAATATGGAACAATAAAACAATAAGGGTCTCTCACATAATTTGTAATTGGAATATCCAAATCATTAAAAAGACAAGGGAATCAAATATGTATGGTACATGATAGTTGAATCTGCTTTCGGTGGAATTATCAAAGGCATGAGTACAAAGGTGAAAAACCAGAAGCAATGTTTTGCTTTTGACAATAGCTGAATCGTAAATTAAATGACAGGAAGAGCATACTCTATCATAGGAAAAACAAGTACGCAACAAGATGTCCAGTTTCAAAATATTTCTACTTCAGAAATGTTTTATTCTATATATAAGCTCAAATGAGGCTGCTGAGATTTGATAATACAATCAGAATGAAAAACTTAAAAATCAAGTTTAACGATATTAAGAGTAAGATAAAAGAACTAACTCTTGGAACGACGTAAACAACAAAGGGAATCGAGAGAGGATCTTGCTGAGCATCAAGAAGTAAACCCTTAAAGAAATAGGGTCCTTCTGGTTCACCTAGAATAAGTTTTATCCTACGACCTGGTACATACTCTTCAAGCTCCCCAAGATTCAGGTCTTTAAGTGCGCGTAATACACTGCCACCGGAATACTCTGATCGAAACTTTCGTTCTTTTTCAAGTGCTTTGTTGAGTTGACGAGCCTAAAACACATTGAAAAGGTTAAATTCTTCCTACAGATAGAACCGTAAACAATATGTTGAATTGAACTAGCAAAAGGCATCAAATTAACTCAGAAAATTTGAGTAGATATTCCTGACCAAATGCAAGTGTTTTTTTTCCGTCAAAAACCATTTCAAGTTATTTCATTCCTAGAGAGGGGATTCGCATGTAAAAGAAAATAAAAATGCAAGAGGGATTTTACCTTATCCCCATGATTTGCAACAGAGTATCCATCCATGTTCGATGATATCTCAGAAACAGAAGCACACATATCTTTCTCAACAACCACCATAATCGTATGCAGTTTCTCAGAAATGGTATAGAGACTCGTCTTCCATCCGAACCGAAACTTATAGAAAAGTACATCTGACGAAAAGATATACGATGGAAAAAAACAATCACAGCTAAGAACTGCACAAAAACAAATCTGATACGAGGAACAATACCTAAGATATCGAATTCTGGTACGGTGAAACAAATAAATTTTCCGCCTGGTTTTAGAATCCTTCCGACCTGGTAATGCACAATTAGAACAGAATAATAAGCTTTTGGACCACTCAAAGAAACAAGATCACTTTCAAATAATACACACATTAGACATATACAAAATCCCTGATGCACCATTAGAGCCGAGCTTAGGCACCATTAGTGCATCCAATAATCCCTTGTCTACAACGTCATGGAAGCTCTTTCCCGGAAACTGAACGGAAATCAACGAAAAACCATCGGATTATTTTTGTCCCAAATCAACCAAAAAATCCAAAATCCGATTATATATATATATATATATATATATATATATATATAAACAAAAAGGAAAGGGAAAACAATCTCCGGCCAAATAAACAGAAGCAGCAATTACCATAACAATAGTCATGTCATTACTATGCCACGTCATCTCCGGCCGTTGTTCGCTATTCCTCTTCGACATGTTTTCAATCACATAATTTGAGAAATCCACGTTCGTTATCTGCTTAAACCCAGCATCATACAAATGCTCCGACAGCTTCGAGCTCCCACATCCCGGCACCAAAATTTTCAACTCCCCGGGCTGTACGGCGGGCGGCGCCGCCGCCGCTCCGGAGGATTCCGGCAGCAACGACGACGGAGAAAGGAGCTGATCCGTGAGAAGGCTCTGGATTTGGGGCCACTCGGCATACCACTCGAAAAAATCATCGCTGCCTCGACTGGTGTAAAATTGCTCCCAATCTTCTTCGCTCGTCAAGCCTGCGTGGCTCCTGAACAGATGTTCGTAGTTTTCTTCCGGTTGTTTGCGCTGTTGCTTCTTCTTCCTCGCCATTTTTCAACGGCGCTGCGTGTTTTCGGTGTGGGAAGCGGTTATTGGGGGGTTTTCAGAGGGTTTTCGATCCGATTTGAAATCAAAGAAATTTAACGCGCGCTCATTTTAATATCAGTTATGTAACCCGATTTTATTGTCTTCCTTTAGAACCGACCGGTCCAACCCTATAAGCTTGGCTCGGCTCATTTTAATGTAAGCTTGGCTTGGCTCAAATGCAAGCCGATCTAATGAGTGAGCATAGGCCACAATTTTTTTTTTTGATCGGTAAATGTGAAATATATAGATCAAAACGGACTTTACAAATACACTGGGCATACCCAGGCAGTGTAATCAAAAAATATATATCAATGCCTATACATGAACAAGACCCCACAGGTCAAATGCAAAACAAAGATCAAAAAACAATCAGGGATGCACGATTTGCAAAGCTGATTGCGGAAACAAGGCAAAAACCGTCTTGTAAACGAGTATCTTGATCTTACGCACCATCTCAGCAATCCTAGGCGTCTCGTTCTCAAAAATTTTCCGGTTGCGAGCAGTCCAAATCTGATAAACGGTGCAAGCAAGGGCTACCTTCTTCGCTTTTTGCCGCCAACATGAGCCACGAGCCTCCTTCTTCAGCCATTTCAAAGCACTCTTGAGCGTAGTTGCAGCCCGAGGGAAGCCAATCCATTCCCGAATAATGCTCCAAAGGTTGTAAGTAAACGTGCATCCGAAAAACAAATGCACCACAGTTTCAGGCTCCGTACAAAAAATGCACGACTTTTCAACCTCCACGTGCTTGATTCGATTCCTCGTCTTGAGCCTGGACAGAATACCAAGCCACAAAATAAACGAGTGTTTCGGTGTAATAGTTGGACACCAGACCACATTAGCCCACGGACGAGGACGAAAACAATCATAAGCAGCGGCAGACCACTTACCATTTGGTCAAATTAGCGATTGTTGCCGTAAATATACACAATTAACCCACCGAACCCACAACGAGTCCTTCTTGGATTGAATCTCCCACAGATTCTTCGTAATAAAAATAAGTTAGATTTCGCTTTCTCGTTCCTTCAGAAAACTCTACTTACTTTTGGAATAATAATCTAATATCTGAATTTTATTTTCATTGCATTTTTTGTGTTGTTTATAAATTTTATGATTATTCCTTGAATTATAAGACTAATACACTCAAGTAGCTCAAGGAGGATGTCAAAGGACAAAACAAGCCAAGGAAGGTGGCCCTCATTTAAAATGTCAATGACCATATTATAATTGCAGGTGTTTTTGTCACACCTTACTTCTATACTTAATTCGGATCAAGGAATTTAACATTTTATCGATTAAAAAGAATAAAATCGTTTAATTGCGGGCTTTTTGTCACACCCGACTTACTTTTATATTTAGTTTTGAATTTTGATCAAGGAATTTAACATTTCTCGATTAAAAAAATTAAGTAACTTTAATTAGGGATGAGACTGGAGTAGGTCGGTTGATTATCGGTCTCAAAATCGATTCATGCGACAAATCAATTTGGCCTAGTGCCACTGGTCCATCATCATTTTATCAGCACAAAAGTACTACGATTATGAAATTCAAAGTTCCAGTGTTAAATTTAAAATACTAACTATTTTGATAATTTCGATACCCACTTCAAAAACTACAACCTTTATTTTATAGTTTTCTAATAAAATGTTATTAATAGAGTTGGTTGAACGATAACCATCGACCAACCAACTTTTGATAATATTATAAACCATCAACCGACCTATTATAAATGTATTAGTTGAAATTTTCAACCTGAATTGATTAAAAATTACATATCGACCTGAAAATACGGTTGATAATAAATCGACTGTCGGGTAAAAACCAACGCCGTCTCATCCTTAACTTAAATACTATAAAATTCGGCAGAGCTCCAACTTTTACAGTGGGAAAGAAGAAAAACACAAGAACACTAGAAAACAAGTCTATGAAAATAGCACGTGCTTTAAAATATGCGAACATGTGTATATATAATTCATTCCACATGGCTATTGTGTAGGCATATGATCCAACTCTGACCTGGAAATAGAAGCTAAAATAATGAACAAATATTATTCAATTTCTGAGTTACCTTCCTCCCATCTCTCTCTCTTAATCCAAATCAAGAATCATTTCTCCTATATATAACCCTCTTCAAAAAACTGTCCTTCACACACACACTCACTACTTCTCGATTATGGCCGCAAACCAGACTTCGATCGACACGGACGTCGAAAGACAGCTCGAAGCACCGATGCATTTCATAGGCTTGTACGTCGCCGCAGCGTCACTACTCTGCACACTCGTAATGGCTGCCGACACTTCGCATGGATTCTGGAGGAAACGCCACTGGTTCCCGTCGAGATACTTCGCACTAAACGCCACCTCGCTAACGCTACTCGCAGTCGCAATGAAGCTCCCGATGGATCTCACGACACGCATGTACGCAGTCACGGATCGCCTCGCGAAAGTCAGCAGCCTCGCTTTCATGTCAACCGCCATGGCCAACTTCTTGCCGTCTCTAGGCTCGATGCGCGACAACGACGTCTTCATGAACGTCGTTGCTTTAGCCATTCTTGTCGTCACAGTTACCATCAATGTAGCCATCCAGGTCTATCAGATCCATTCTTACCTCAACGCCAGGGTGGCGTTCCCCGAAGAAATCCTAGCCATTGGTTCGATGCTCTTCTTGCTTGTTCTGTTCGCTTCGACGGCTCTGATGATCCCCCCCACCAAACGGTACCTGGAGAAAAAGTACCACGACATGCACAAGATCGCTTCCAAAGAAGAGCAAGACGATAACGGGAGAATGTGTACCGATAAACTGAGAGTATTGATCAAGAAGTATTGGGTGATGGCAGAAACCAGCAGCCCTCAGTTTGTGATAGTTCGTTCGGTGACCTGCACTACATCAGGGGTCGTGAGCATGATCGTAGCTCTCATTTTATTGGAGGCTGAGTTACGAATGTCAATGCAGGTCAATATCCTCGATCAGTCGATTTCGAGCTATGCTTGGTCGACGAAATGGATTCTGATTTTGCAGACTATTGGAGTGATAGTCGGGACCGTTGCACCAGCATCCAGATGGTTCAATGCCGTCAAATGTAGATCGAAAATCGAGGGAAGCAAGAGCATTAAGGGTGTGTTTACAGTGGAGGTATACTGGACACAGAAATTGGTGGAGTGGAGACAAAGCTCGTTGTCGTTTCAGATTCGACACCTCGTGAGCAGAAAATTGCTCCATCATCTGAGAGGAATGTTTCTTAAACTCTGTATTTCTCTTCAGTGTGTTATTGTTCTTGCTAGCAAATTACTCCTTCTGATCTCCGTCTGTATAACAAGTCCAATCATCTCGTGTATTAGCTATTCGGAATCAACGGCTCGACCGGAGTTGGACATCAGGGCTTACGTTATGCTGCTCGAAGGGGAGGAAAAGCTGTCTAAAGAAACCGTGGAGTATATCTTGAACGAGGTCGATAGCGTCATTCAAAAAGGCAAGAAGCGCAAACCGGCAAATTTATCGAAATTTCTAAATAAATCTTGCAACTTTGATGGTGTGGCGGGGTTCGACAGTCGTCGAATTCCGAGCCTGCATTCTGAAGAAGCCGTCCCGTATTGCTGGTCTCTACCTGTAGTCACTTTGACTAGCATCGCACTTGCGCTTCCCAATGTAGAGAAGCGCAAATCTGAACAACTAATGAAAAGTGTCACCGAAGGGATCTCCTACGTGAAACTTATCGATACGATCTTGGACAAAAAAGACGGTCTCGAAAACGTAAGAACTGCAGCAGATGTTGTCTGGGTTGGAGTTGAGCTGTACCACAGGTGGCAAGACAAGGACCTTCACGAAACGTCACTCGAAGGCAAAAACGGCGCGGAGATACTACGACAGCTCGGTGACAGAGCTGAAACGACAGTCGTCGAGTTCGAGAGAGATGAGAGAGACTACTTGATGAGGGAACCTCTTAATTGGCCTGCAAATGTTATTGCTGCCAACACAATGTACAGAATCAGCAGAACAATTCTGCTGACTCAGAGCGAAAAAACGGATGACGAACTGTTTGAGCACTTATCGGTCACGATAGCAGATGTACTAGCGGCATGTCTTACCAATTTAGGACACGTAATAACCGTGACATGCCGACGTAATGCAATTGAGGAGAGGGAGAAAAGCGTGCGTAAAGCGGCGCTTCTTCTCGGTGAAACCGAAGACATTATCGCACATCTCAGGCAACGTGAACTCCCACTCTCGGCCCCCGATCGAGGAGCTTCCGTTCAAGAATGGCGAGCATTAATCGACACTGCAAACAACATTAATCGGGATTTCAATTCTAAAACGGAAATTGAAACAGGTGCTTCAAAATGCAGAGAAGCGATCGTAGATATAAAAGTCGAATGATGATCGATGCGTTATCTGAACCTATGTTTTTTTTTTCCGTTATGAAGCGATTAATAAAATCATTACTCTTGAAAATCCAATTCTGATTAATACTAATCAATCCACCATATAGATTAAGAGGGTCGATTATCTAAAAACAAACTGATACATATAATTGGATCAATCTTATGGATTGCATTACCAATGTCACACTTGTTCATAATGGGTCCCATTTATTTTTATAATTCATTCATAAATTAACAGCACCATAGCTAAAGAAAAGTATTATTATTTATTTTCTAGAGCAAGATCTAACTTAGATTCTCTGAAGAGTTTAATACTATAAATATGAAGAGATCAGGACTGATTAGTTTAATTAAATAACACTCAATCATGATGGCTGACTGCAATTTTTTTAAAAATAAAATATTAAGAAAGCATCTTCACTGCATAATATTTTCAATTTAAGTACCACACCATGTGAGAAATATATATATATATATATTCAATTTCGACCCCACATTTTTTTTCAGTTTCATACTAAGACCCCAATAATTTCTATAATTACTCTACACACCACCACAAATTAAATTCACTAACGAAAATGCATTATTATACTTTAATTTGAGCAATAATAGCCTCTGAACATTTTACATGTAAATTTCATATCTGAATCATATTGCAGAAAGGTGGTAATACTCAAACCATTTCCTCAGAAAGTCATCAATGAATTATGAATTATTCAAAAATTCTATGTGGAGTAATGATTGACCAGTTCAGAGCAATAACACAGGCTAATATTAATGTCACTATCATCATCATAAACAAAATCAAGAAATAGCAAAGTAAACGTTACGACTAAATTGGGATGAATGATTCAGATACGCAATAACAAGAAACTTCGGGATCAGCTCATCGTATCTTGAATGAGTTAAAGAGTTATCGATATCATCTACGGTAATCATCATTATTAAGAAGAATATTTTGGGGAAGATAATCGGACCTGGTTCGTGCACGGACTTGGTTCGATGGATGCCACAGGATTTGATCTTGATACCTACAAGAACGACACGAGAATTCAAGAGCAACTTGTAGCACCAATGCCATGGATAGGCATGTACATTGCTGCAGCTTCTCTGGTATGTTCGCTTGCAATGGCAGTCGATGCCTTTGATGGATTCAGAAGAAAACGGTTTTGGTTCCCGTGTAAGTATTTCTCCCTCAATGCTACTTCCTTGACATTGTTAGCTGTGGCAATGAAGTTGCCTGTGGATCTCACCACAGCCATGTTTGCAAATATTGATTGGCTTGCTAAGCTAAGCAGCCTGATTTTCATGTCAACGTCGATCGGAAATTTCATGTCGTCTTTAGGGTCCATGAACGATATGGAGGTACTGACGAATTTGGCGGCTTTGGGGATTCTGATAATCACCGTCACTGTTAATGTCTGGATTCAACTTTTTCAGCTGGAGCCTCTTATGGAACCTGAGGCTATGTTGGGTGAATTGTTATTGGCTACTGTATACATGTTCCTCTTGCTAGTCTCACTAGTGTCTTCTGCTGTCACGATTCCAACGACGAAAAGATTCATGGAGTCAAAGTACAAGGAAATGCAAAAAGTAGCTACGAGGGGAGAGCAGGAAGCAGCTATACAACATTGGTTGATGGCAGAAACCGGCAGCCCTCAGTTTGTGATTGCGCGTTCTGTCGTTTGCACTTTTGCGAGTGCCGTTTGTATGGTGGCTGCCCTAACGTTAATAGAAGCTTATATTCGAGCTATTATTCTGTGCAAAGGTGTGAAAAGCTTCTGGGAAGCTGAATCTGTGTATGGATGGTCAACTAAGTGGATTCTTTTCGTTCAGTCTTTTGGGGTGGCAGTTGGGACAATTACTCCTATATCCAGATGGTTTTTTGCTGTCGGCATCAGATGCTCGGAAAATCGTCGTAAAAGCTTCAAAAGGGAATTGAAGATCGAGAGTTATTGGATCCAAAGGCTCGTGGACTGGAGAGACAGCTACTCGAGTTCGCAAATTCGACACCACAAGTGCAGAAAGTATCTTCACTGTGCAAAAAGTGTGATTCTGAATTTCTTTATCGGAGTGCAGATTATACTTGTTCGAATCAGCAGGCTTCATCTCCGTGTCTCTGCTTCACTTATGAGTCCGCTTTTCTCATGCTTCAGTCTCGTTAATAAGTCTGAAAATTTATCCAAAGTTTGGAGCTCGAACAATCAGAACGGACCGGAATTAGGCGATGGAAAGGAGATAGATCTGAGCCGTTACGTTTTTCTTCTAGAAGGTGAGTCTGAGCTGCCCCGTAAAACCATCATGAACATCTACCACCGGGCAGATAAAGCGATGCAGAGAGGCGGAAAACTGCAACCCAAAAATCTTGTAAACCTTCTACAAAACTCGAACGACTTCAAAGGGGTAAGAGACTTCGACAGCAGCTTAATTCCGAGCCTACATTTTCAAGAACCTCCAAACTGTTGGAGTCTACCTGTGGTAACACTCGCAAGCATCGCAGTTTCACTTCCGAACGTTGCAAATCACAAGGCTAAGCAGTTGGTGCAAAGCGTGAGCGAAGGGCTTTCCCTGGTGAAGCTAATAGATAACACCCTCGATACGAATGGAGAACTATTAAGCGTACAAAATGCAGCGGCTACGATTTGGCTAGGCGTTGAACTTTTTTGTAAGTGGCAAGATAAAGATCTTCGAGAAGCATCTCTTAAAGGGAAAAACTCGAAGGAAGTGTTACACGAGCTCTCGGGTAAAGCCGAGCTGATAGTTTTGGATTTCAAGAGAGATGTGAATGATTTGTTTATGGAAAACCCTGTGAATTGGCCTGCTAAGGTCATTGCTGCTAATTCAATGTACAGGATCAGTCGAACGATTTGCGATGGCTTCGATTACAAAACTGACGAGGCGTTGTTTGATCGGCTAACTGTCGTGATTGCGGATATATTTGCAGCATGTTTTACCAATCTAGCTCGCGTGATAACCGGAAAGTATCACCGTAATGCTGTTGAAGAAAGGGAGAAAAGTGTTGGTGAAGCACTTCACCTTTTGGGGAAAACGAGACGGATTATCGAGCTTCTCCAGCAACACGAAGTGCCGTTTCTGGATCGTGATAGAGCAGCATGCATCGAAGATTGGAGGGCTCTGTTTCTGCAAGATATAGAAAATCCACTCGATCAGTGATTTAAGACAACAGCAGCCTCCGAATCCATGATTATTGATGTAATGTTAAGTACTTTGTACAGAAAAGCCGTTGAGCTAAGATTGTACGAGTGCTGTAATTAGTTAAATTCTTGTGCATTTTGAATAAACGAAAATTGGGACATGCACACTTATGCCATCAGCTAAGCCAGCACGTGGTCAATGGTTCGGTTAATTGAGTCAACTTTGATAGTAAAATGGTAAATGGTGTTACACTTTTCGACACAGATGCAAGACTTTCCATAACAAGTATATATCAACAACCGCATAAAATATATATTCTTGACAAATATGAATTCGAAGAACAGACAACAAGATTATCATCATTTCAGACAGTTAGGGAAAGGAAATGCAGTATAATATTCAGACAAGACAAACACAAAAACACTACAGTGGAGCTTTGTGAACATATAGTAAGGGGAGAATGTGCACCGATAAATTGAGAGTACTGATCAAGAAGTATTGGGTGATGGCAGAAACCAGCAGCCCTCAGTTTGTGATAGTTCGTTCGGTGACGTGCACTACATCAGGAGTCGTGTGCATGATCGTAGCTCTCGTTTTATTGGAAGCTGAGTTACGAATGTCGATGCAGGTCAATATCCTCGATCAGTCGATTTCGAGCTATGCTTGGTCGACGAAATGGATTCTGATTTCGCAGACTATTGGAGTGATAGTCGGGACCGTTGCACCAGCATCCAGATGGTTCAATGCCGTAAAATGTAGATCGAAAATCGAGGGAAGCAAGAGCATTAAGGGTGGGTTTACAGTGGAGGGATACTGGACTCAGAAGATGGTGGAGTGGAGACAAAGCTCGTTGTCGTTTCAGATTCGACACCTCGTGAGCAGAAAATTGCTCCATCACCTGAGAGGAATGTTTCTTAAACTCTGTATTTCTCTTCAGTGTGTTATTGTTCTTGCTAGCAAATTACTCCTTCTGATCTCTGTATATATAACAAGTCCAATCATCTCGTGTATTAGCTATGTAAGAAGGTTGAAGAGACAGACGGGATTATGTCACTCTGTTTCGGAACCGACCGCTCAAGTGGAGTTGGACATCGGGCCTTACGTTATGCTGCTCGAAGGGGAGCAAAAGCTGTCTGAAGAAACTGTGGAGTATATCTTAAACGAGGTCGATAGTGTCATTCAAAAAGGCAAGAAGCGCAAACCGGCAAATTTATCGAAATTTCTAAATAAGTCTTGCAACTTCAATGGGGTGGCGGAGTTCGACAGTCATCAAATTCCGAGCCTGCATCCTGAAGAGGTCGCCCCTTACTGCTGGTCTCTACCCATAGTCACTTTGACTAGCATCGCACTTGCGCTTCCCAATGTAGAGAAGCGCAAATCTGAACAACTAATGAAAAGTGTGACCGAGGGAATCTCGTACGTGAAGCTTATCGATACGATCTTGGACAAAAAAGACGGTCTCGAAAACATAAGAACTGCAGCAGATGTTGTCTGGGTGGGAGTTGAGCTGTACCACAGGTGGCAAGACAAGGACCTTCAAGACACGTCACTCGAAGGCAAAAACGGCGCGGAGATACTACGACAGCTCGGTGACAGAGCTGAAACGACAGTCGTCGAGTTCGAGAGAGATGAGAGAGACTACTTGATGAGGGAGCCTCTTAACTGGCCTGCAAATGTTATTGCTGCCAACTCAATGTACAGAATCAGCAGAACAATTCTGCTGACTCAGAGCGAAAAAACGGATGATGAACTGTTCGAGCAGTTATCGGTCACGATAGCAGACGTACTAGCGGCATGTCTTACCAATTTAGGACACGTAATAACTGTGACATGCCGACGTAATGCGATTGAGGAGAGGGAGAAAAGTGTGCGGAAAGCGGCTCTCCTTCTCGGTGAAACTGAAGACATTATCGCACATCTCAGGCAGCGCGAACTGCCACTCTCGGCCCCCGATCAAGGAGCTTCCGTTCAAGAATGGCGAGCATTAATCGACACTGCAAACAACATTAATCGGGATTTCAGTTCTAAAATGCAGAGAAGAGATCGTTGATATAAAAGTCGAATGATGATTGATACATTATCTGAATATGTTTTTTCCGTTATGAAGCGATTAATAAAATCATTGCTCTTGATAATCTAAATCTGATTAACACAATCAATCCACCATATAGATTACGAGGGTCCATTATCTAAAACCAACCGATACATATACGAATGTCACACTTGTTCATTCATAACTAACGAAAACTAATATTATTTATTTTCTAGAGCAGGATCTAAATTAGATTCTCTCAAGTGTTTAAAAGTCTTATCTGTAATGTTATTATAAATACAAAGAGATTAGGTGTGATTACCAGCCGACCAAGTGGGGAATAAAGCTGTAGTAATTATTTAAACAACATTAATCAAGAATGATTAGTTTAATTAAATAACACTCAGTCATGATGGCTGACTGCAATTTTTTAAAGTAAAATATTAAGAAAGCATCTTCACCGCATAATATTTTCAATTTTGCCCTAATTTCCGCTATAGTGTAGAGCGATGCAGACAGTCATAAGAATGATTACCATTTACAACACCAGTATACATAATATATCCAATAAGAATTAAATACACCTAAACAAATCTTAAATCCTACGTTTCTTTTTCACTTCTAGTGGTGTTTTGAACTTTTAATATTTTTTTAAATGTTAATTTCATACTAGAATAAAATTTATTTGCTTCGGATGTAATTTGTGGAATGATAATTCGGTTTAGAACTTGTGAATTATATATAATCTGTAAATAGGAATATGTAATTCGCGATAAGTATATAAGTTAAATGTTATAATATATTTTAGAAATTATAGATGTATCCCTAAATTTTTAATATTTACACGTTTCTCCCACTATTCCCGTATCCAACTTTTTGAATCCGGTATCCGTTTCTCTGTTTCGTTGTATCCGTGTTCCCTTGTTCGTGCTACATAGATCGTGGGAGTAAAGGAAATCATACTTACATGCACAACACGTAAAATTTTGTGGGTTCAAATTTCGACCCCACATTTTTTTTCAGTTTCATACTAAGACCCCCAATAGTTTCTATAATTACTTTACAGACCACCAAGAATTTCCTCAGAAAGTCATCAATCAATTATTCAACTATGTGTGGAAGTAATGGTTGACAACTTCAGAGCAATAAACATGCCATTTATGCAACTATCATCATCATAAACAAAATCAAGAAAACAGCAAAGTAAACTATACTCAATTCATATCTTGAACGAGTCAGAGTTATCGACATCGAAAAATCGGAGAAGGTACTTAGATTGGACAGGATTTTTGCAGGGATTGATTCTGATGGATACGAGAATTCAAGAACAACTTGAAGCACCGATGCCGTGGATAGGCATGTACATAGCTGCAGCTTCTCTCGTCTGTTCGCTTGCAATGGCAGCCGATGCATTTAACGGATTCCGAAGCAAACGGATGTGGTTCCCGTGTAAGTACTTCTCCCTCAGCGCCACTTCCTTGACACTGTTAGCTGTGTCAATGAAGTTTTCAGTCGACATCACTTCCACCATTTTTACCAATATCGACTGGCTTGTTAAGGTGAGCAGCTTGATTTTCATGACAGTATCGACTGGAAATTTCGTATCTTCATTAGGGTGCATGAACGATAAGGAGATGCTGACGAACGTCGTGGCTCTGGGGATTCTGGTGATCACGATTGTTGTTAACGTGTGGATTCAACTCTTCCAACTGAAGCCTTTTCTTCCTCCGATTTTTATGGTCAGCGAAATGCTGTTCGCTACTGTTTTCATGCTCGTTTTGCTGGTTGCGTTAGTGTCTTGTGCTATCACGATTCCAACGACCAAAAGATGCGTCGAATCGAGGTACAAGGAGACGCAAAAACTGGACCAGAGAGAAGAACAAGCGATATTCAACATCGATGAACAACGAGAAGCAGCTATAAGACATTGGTTGATGGCAGAAACTGGCAGCCCTCAGTTTGTGATTGCGCGTTCGGCCGTTTGCACTTTGGCGAGCGCGATTTCTATGGTGGCTGCCTTAACATTAGTAGAAGCTTATGTTCAAGCAATTTCAAGAAACGAAGGTGCCATCAGCTTCTGGGAAGCTGAATCTGTGTATGGATGGTCAACTAAATGGATTCTTCTTGTTCAGTCATTTGGAGTGGCAGTGGGCACAATTTCTCCTACATTCAGATGGTTTCTTGCCGTCAGTTTCAAATGCTCGGGAAATTGTCGTAAAAGCTTCAAAAAAGAATTCAAGGTCGAGAGTTATTGGATCCAGAGGCTCGTGGACTGGAGAGACAGCTACCCAAGTTCGCAAATTCGACACCACAAGTGCAGAAAGTATCTGTACTGTGCAAAAAGCATGATTCTGAATTTCTTTATCGGAGTGCAGATTGTACTTGTTCGAATCAGCAGGCTTCATGTTCGTGTATCTGCTTCGCTTATGTGTCCGCTTTTCGCATGCTTCAGTCTCGTAAATAACTCTGAAAATTTATTCAAAGTTTGGAACTCGAACAATTGGAACGGATCTGAGTTAGGCGATGGAACGGAGATTGATCTGAGCCGTTACGTGTTTCTTCTAGAAGGTGAGGTGGAGCTGCCCCGTAAAACCATCATGAACATCTACCACCGGGCGGATAAAGCGATGCAGAGAGGCGAAAAACTGCAACCCGAAAATCTCGTAAACCTTCTGCAAAACTCGAACGATTTCAAAGGGGTGAAGGACTTCGACAGCAGCTTAATTCCGAGCCTACATTTTCAAGAACCTCCAAACTGTTGGAGTCTGCCTGTGGTAACACTCGCAAGCATCGCAGTTTCACTTCCGAACGTTGCAAATGACAAGGCTAAGCAGTTGGTTCGAAGCGTGAGCGAAGGGTTTTCCCTCGTGAAGCTAATAGATAACAGCCTCGATACAAACGGAGAACTATTAAACGTACAAAATGCAGCGGCTACGATTTGGCTAGGCGTTGAACTTTTTTGTAAGTGGCAAGATAAAGATCTTCGAGAAAAATCTCTTAAAGGCAAAAACTCAAAGGAAGTATTACACGAGCTCTCGGGTAAAGCCGAGCTGATAGTTTTGGATTTCAAGAAAGATGTGAATGATTTGCTTATGGAGAACCCTGTGAATTGGCCTGCTAAGGTTATTGCTGCTAATTCAATGTACAGGATCAGTCGAACGATATGCGATGGCTTCGATTGTGAAACTGACGAGGCGTTGTTTGATCGGCTAACTGTCATGATTGCGGATATATTTGCAGCATGTTTTAGCAATCTAGCGCGTGTGATAACCGGAAAGTATCACCGTAATGCTGTTGAGGAAAGGGAGAAAAGTGTTAGTGAAGCACTTCACCTTTTGGGGAAAACGAGACGGATTCTCGAGCTTCTCCAGCAACACGAAGTGCCGTTTCTGGATTGTGATAGAGCAGCGTGTATCGAAGATTGGAGGGCTCTGTTTCTGCAAGATATTGAAAATCCAATCGATCAGTGATTTAAGACAACAGCACCCTCCGAATCCATGATTTTGATGTAATGTTAAATATTTGTACAGAAAAGGCGTTGAGCTAAGATTTTACAAGTGCTGTAATTAGTTAAAATCTTGTTTATGTTGAATAAACGAAAATTACGGCATGCAAACTTATGCCATCAGCTAAGCCAGCACGTGGTCAGTTGGTTCGGTTAATTGAGTCAACTTTGATCGTAAAATGGTAACCTGTTTTACACTTTTCTACAGAGATGCAAGACTTTCCGTAACATGTATATATATATCGACAACCGTATAAAATATATAATCTGGACGAATATGAATTCGAAGAATATATAACAAGATTATCATCATTTCAGACAGTTAGGTGAGGGAAATTCAGTAAAATATTCAGACAAGACAAACACAATAACACTACAGTGGAGCTTTGTGAACATATAGTAAGTCATTCCACCTGTCCTTATGCAGACATATTGTCCAACGCTGAGCTGGAATCGAAGCTAAAATAATCCCCATGCCCGATCACATGATTATTAAATTTGTTTCAAAAGTTCAAGATAATTGTTACACCCCCTACCCCTACCCCCCCCCCCCC